TAGTTTCTAATCTCATCCCCTGCAAGCCCTTCCAACTATTTTTATTAATGGCATTGCAATTTTCATCCAGTTAAAGTTTGTTTGGTTTTTTGTTTGAAGGGGGGGTTGTTGTTTGATTTTTGTTTGGATTTTTTATTTTGAGGTTTTTTGTGGTTTGGGTTGGTTTTTTAAAGAAACTTATTGTGTACTCACTAATAGATGCAAGGAATGTTTAATCACTCTCCTGGAAAGTAAAAAGCAACTCTCTTGCTTTGTAACTCACACTTCAAAGAGAGAAGACCAAGACGTATGTTTCACAAAGCAAGCAGGGCAAAGCAGCCCACTATTCAGTCAAATTTACAAGAATGTTTATGTGCAGAGCAATGCATGTGAAAATATTCATTTGCTATTTATAATTAAAGACATTAATCTATCTATTTCCTAAAATAAGGTTTACTTTTTTCCCCCCTCCACAAACGGATCAAAACTATTCAGACTAGTTACTAAGGTACAATAATGTACAATGCCAACCAGCATTAGACTGAATGCTACAACTACTACTGACTCAAGAGGGTTTCGTGGGAATTCTTAAATACTTACAACTCCATGTGAAGCATCTGAAGTTAAATTATGACTAAGCTAATAAACTCTTGTGCAATGACTAAGGCAAATGCCAGGAAAGAAGCCCTGGGAAATAAGATACCATAGGTTTCCTTAGAATCCTAAAATAATAGTATTAAAAAGCCAACAATGCATCTGGAACAACATGGTGTTCAGCAAACCTAAAGCCAAGGTTGTTTCCAGAAGACTGATTAAACTCTTACACAAATAGTTTCCCAAATTTAGCAAGATTATGGATCTCAAAATGATGGTAGGCTAAGCCTTGTTTCATGGTTTTAGCTCTTGTAAAATACCACCTCTTTTTAAGGCCATGTATTTCAAAATACAGTAAAAGTTAAGTAGAGGTTCTATAAATCAGTTTAATAGACTCACAACAAAAGACCTCAGACCAGCTTTCATTTTACCACCACCTCTGTGTCCACTACAAGATAAAACCACTGACATCTGCCTTCATGAAACTGCCTCATGACAGAGGAACACCTGAATCTGATCCATCGCAGACATGCTTCTACTACCTCAGGATGGAAGAAACTTCTGGAAAGAAGGCTCCCAGAATCATCAACCCATTTCACTATACTCAATACCCAAATCTGAGGACTTTCTAGAGCTAGGGAGCTTGATAAATAGTTGCAATGAGGCAAATCTAATCTTCAGGCTAGATTTTACTTGTCCCAATTAAAAGCGCAAATCAGAAATATGACTACTATGTTACTGCAAGTATTTTACAATCTGTTGAGCAATTGCGAAAGCAAATGAACAGCAAAGCACTGGGCCAAGATATGGAAAAAGCATTAACTGAAAAAAACCTAACTTTTGCTGATCATTTGGGCAGATCTTTATTAAAAGGCATATCTGTCTACTGTCAGATTTATGACTGCAGCTCATATTCTCATGTATGCATCCTCAGTGGATTGGGCTAGACTGGCCAAATCTTGTACAGCCCTTATCACGTTCTCATATATGAGAAATCAAAGAAGTTCAGAATGGATTGGTCTAATCTTTTCCCCAAGCTCATGGTCATTTTTGTTTTGCTCAACTGATGACTAGAGATTCAAAAGTATATGAACGCCTTGAGTTACTGATTTCTACCATTGTCACTCTATCCATATAAAAATACACGTACCCGTGTCCTGAAAATTATTTTGCTGAGTGCATAGACAGCTCAGGGAAGTTGCTGAAATTGGCCACAAATAAGCTTTGCAATTATTTTTTGGAAACACAGTGCATCATCTTGTCAATTTACGTTACAAGGACCACACTTGCTTCCAGCGGAAAGGTAAACTATTTTCTTAATCTGTTTTGCATTCCGATGAAAGTTCTATAAAATACCTAATTTCTTTGCCAGAGGACTACTGACCTGGTTATCATGCACTGACCAAGTGCACAACACAAATTCACAGACAGAGCATTCACAGACATACTCTGTTCCACTTCCCTACTTAACACAGCAAATGTGTTATGATCCAAGGCAAAGCCACTTACTTAGTAAAAAGGAAGCATCAGATGTCTTGAGTAATGTAATCTCACCTAACGAACCATAATTTTGGGCCTAAAATCAGCATCAGTACAATCTTTGAAGCACTTGTGCATGTGAGTAACATGCAACTTTTCCATTTCAACTACTATATTAATCCTGCCTGTCTGGAACTGAACTCTGCAGTGAACAGGTAAGTTAAAAGACAAATTTTAGTTACACTGAGGCTCTGAAAGCAAAGTAATATGTCCTAAACTATTTGGTGCTACATCTTTGCCCTTGGCAAAAGTCTTTAAAGTTTAAAAGAGCACTTAGTTCACTTTACAGTTGCATGAAGGAAATTATTTTACAATTCAAATTAGCTAAAGCAAAAAAGTCAAAAAAATACCACACCCCTAAGTGCTATGAAAATTGTTTATTAAAAGGCATAAAATATCTTTTTCACATCTTTTTCAGATAGGTTCTAGATTTTTTTTTTTTCACTTAGTAAGTGAAGAACTGCTTCTTATTATAACTTGGAAACTTCCACCCTTTGTGTTAAAACAAGGTAGAAAGCTGAAAAGCACACAAATCAGTTAAAACCAGTGCACAAGTCATCACTAAACCCCATTTGAAGACAACGCCTCTTCAAAAGGCCAGAAACCCTACTGTAAGAGTGAAAAACAGGTTTTAAAGTTTATACAAATATGCTTGCAGTAGTAGTCCTTACTCTACTCTAAATTTTAAGAGGATTTCACCATTCCCTATGTTCAACTGAAAATGAAAAAAGAGGAATAATTTAAATTAGAGTAAAACTGCACCTTATTTAGATAAAAACAATTCACTCCTCTCCCTCATATTTATTCTAGCTTTATTTTATCCCCACATTAGATGTGAAGACAGAAAGCTTCAAAGTGCTTCAAAATCTAGAATGTTGGAATTTTCCCCCCAGGTGTTCATAAAACTGGATCCAGGTTTTGAACATTAGTCTTTATTAGTCTACTTGGATAAAATTCTGAGCAATTTTATTTTAGTCTGTCAATACCGCTATCCAAACAACAGAGTCAATCTATTTATCGTGTTCTCAAATACAGAACACATTTAGCAAAATTCTGGTGGAAAGATTATTTGAAAACATGGTTACTTTCAACTGGAAAAGGTTTTCAAACCTGCAAAATTGGTTGGAAAGAAAATATAACCACCTTTCCAACCTCTCTTATCTACTGTGAACCAAATGAAACAGCAAATGGAACATGTAATATAGAATATACATTTACCTATATCTGAGTGATCAAACATGTACAGTCAATATTACCACCATAAATTTACTTTGAACAACTTTTAAAAAAATTACAGTAGCATATAACAGTTTAAAATTTTGTAAGTATAAACTCAGAAAGTTGTCGTGGTCAATAGTGAAACTACAGGGCTGGGGGCGGAACCTTAAAAAGGATTTGGAAATAAAATTTTAAAAAGCTTTTGCAAATCCACACTTTTATTTCCTGTCGGAATAACATCACTCTTCTGCCAACTACAGCAGCTTCTACGTCCCATTTTGGCCAGTTCTCCCACAAGCTTTCAGGATTTCTCATTTGTCAGTCCTGGTGCCTGGAACACCCACCTTCCTTGTCTTGAAGTGCCATTCTAAGATCCACTTCTGCAACATTGCCTACAGAAAAAGTAGGCAACTAAAGCACTCGTTTGCTGGGACATGATGTACCAAGCATCAGCTTTTACTGTGTACACTGTACTGCATAGCATTCATCTCACTGTACCTTTCTTAATGCACCATAACAATTTTTCCTTCAGCACATCAAATTTAAAAGTGCCGATTTACTGACCAAGAATCACTTTGAAGAAATAGTGTCTACTGTTTGTGAGAGTGCTAGCTGCACCTCTCAGTGACCACAGAAAGGAAAGTATGTTCAACATTATAAAGATTCCATCTGTGGTACATGCACATATGTAAACAACATAAACAGAACAGAGCAGCCTTTTAGTCTTCTTTATACCATATTACATTGTAATCCTTGGCTGGCTCACCTGAAACTTCTTATCAAATTAATTTATGAAACTGAATTGGAAAGCTGCATTTACACTTTTTTGGGGGTTTCATTTTAAAAAGTCTTCTACTCTAAATCTATTTCCTTCTCTTTGAAAATCTGGATTAAAATTTAGCTAAGAGTCTATAGGAAATGTTTATGTTTATATAGGTCAAAGTCTATCAAGACATCTCTGGACAGTCTTGGAGGCAGACTTGAAGCAACTGTACCTTTTTGAAAGTTTGAAGGGATACGTTCTTTTTTAATTAAAAAGAATATGTTGCCTACCCATATTAAATGCAAGCCTGTCATTAGATTATATTACTGACCTTCAGGTGACATGAACTTCAAGTCACACTTTCAAGTCTTCCATGTATTTCTAAATGCCACTCCATATCAAAGTGAATATATTACTGCCTTATTTATTTATCTTTGGTTAGAAGTAGAGCTTCCTTCAGTAATGCCAACACAGTTCTAACATACAATATTGCATTTCCAAGGGGAACAAATTAGTTTCGTAACTTTGTGGCATTACAAATGGGAGAAACACCTAACTCGGAACACTTCAGCAAACAAGCTGCACAAGGCATTTTCAGAAACTAAAACCAGCTGAAGATGTAAAATGCAAAACCACAACAAAAACCTTGTAGACATAGCATGTAAGCACAAGATATAATCAATAACCCAACTAAAACTGCAAATACAATTCTTCAAGATGAAAAAATGAAATGCTGGCAAGCATATGGCTGAAGTTTACATATACAAATTCACTAAAATTAAAGCACTTGCCACTGAAAATAGTCACGTACAGCTTAAAGCTAGACAAAGCCCTTCCTCACATGTATTTCATATACTTGAAACTACCTCACTAGTGAGAGGAGAAAAAATAAGCTTATTCAACTTACATCTTTTTCTGACCGATGTGGGAACATCGATGATTGGCTGTAGTACATGTTCTCATCATGGTAGTCACCATCAACCCCCTCTACAAACTTCTTCCTTGAAGCACCAAACATGCTGTTTGTCACCTAAATGAGAAGAAAAACAATTATATACCATATATGATTTGCTTTGCTACATACTTGGCATGTATATTTAAATATACACAAGGATTGTTAAAAAAAATGTTTCTAAATATTTGAAAATGCCTCCTAAAAATCCTTTCTGTATATTGTCAATGTAATAGTTCTTTCAAGAGGGATTTTCATGCAACAGAAACTTGTATTCCAGAAACAACTGGAGTGGGCAGAGGGGACATGCTTCATTTTTTGGAGGGGTATTTTTTTGTTGGTTGTCTGAGTTTCATGACCTTTCAACCAAATTTATTTAAAATTACAGAATGTCAGAAAATGAATATGCAAGTTCCTCTAGTTTTCCTCTTTCATTCTAAAAGAAGAAAATTAAGGCATATTCTTTAGAGCTCAGCTACCTTAAAATAAATAACAACAACAACAAACATAGAAAAAAAAAATCTGTGAAATCACTTCCATGTCTCATCACCTCAACTTTGGAAAAGTAACTTTCTACTTGACCCTACTCAGATCCATGATTAAGTAAGAGAAGGTTGAGCTTAACCACACTCAACAACCTCGTCACAGACTGGCAAAGTTACTGCAGACAGCCCATAAAAATACCCTGGATTTTATTTTGCCCTTACTGCCACAGACACGCACAAAGACAGAGCTGCTAAGTCAGGAATTGGAAACTAAAGAAACAGCAACCACACAGCTGGTCACAGAACCTTAATTCATTAGAAAATTTAATCCTGCAGCAAGGTCATATAATGTTGCTAAAGCATCTACTGCACACAGTGCATATTTATATACCTGACTCTTATTTAATCTATCTGACAATGAAACACTATCACAGCGCAGTGTGGGGTAACCAAGCCCTGTTTTAACCTAACAAGTTAATGTTCAAACCAGCGAAACGGCACAAACTGGTCAGCACAGAGCAACTTGCCCAGTTTCTTGTACCATATGGGGAGACTGGAGAGAGTGTAAACAACAGGATGGTAATCAACTCCGAGCTACTGCACTACTTATCTTCACACAGATCTTTATCATCTTGGAAGGTAAGGAAGCTGAGTTACAGTTAGTTTATGAAATGCTCTGAATCCTAAGATTTACTATCTTCACTACGGACAGCATTAGATGAACTTACAAAAACACAGGTTGATTTTTAACATTTTTTTTAAAGAGCCAGTTTGCACTACCTTAGGCTCATGTTTAAAAATGAAGTTTCAAAGTATTTATTCTGGTTGGCTGCAAGAAAAGCTACTTTCAGGCTCAAATCCTCTAATCCCTGCTGACACAAAATTACTGTGATATTCCTCACAGTGTGGCTTATTCAAATTTCACCTTTACTGATGAAGACTTGTAGGCAGTGTTTAAATAACATGAGTACTCCTACTCTGGTAACAACTCCATGATTGCAAAGTCATAGGACTTTTGAGTAAAAGTAAAGTCAACACTTAGAATGCATTTAATACAGCTATACTCACAGAACTGACTTAAAAGATTCAGCTAAACAAGCCTATTCTACTACTCCTACAAGGGGGTTTCAGATCTTCAGACTACTGATATTTCAAAACAAATTTATAACCTCTTATATGCATGTGAAGGATGGTGTGTAAAGGTACTGCATACCTTCTTCAGATGAAACTTGTGTTTTGTGATATTCACAAAAAATGTGCAAACGTAAGGTCCCAAAATGCTAGAATGCATTCAGCTGACTTTCACACTTACAGTGAAGCTTGCATTACACTGTAAGCATATCCCACTGTGTTAATCCCCCTACAATGCAATTATCACCTACCAGATGGGATGGAGCATTTAACAGGCTAAGGGGATTACCTTGTCCTTTGCTCTGCCTGAGCAAAGTGCAGAGAGATGAGCAGTTGCCTTCAATGGCAGTAAAAATGATAGTGAAATGCTTTGGTGAAGCTGTCTCCAGCAATGAAGAGAAGCGGTGAGTCTCAACCAACTACTGCTTTTGAGAGCAAAAAGGCAGCTTCTCACAAGCCCCGAAGAATTTTTTGATGCTCCTTTAACAATACCTGGGATAAGGATGTTTTGTGGGTTTTTTTGGCCACATAACCCTCTCTTGTGATACATCGTCACAATAACAAAATTGAATAGTCATAGAAAGCAAGTCACTGAAGCACACATAGTATTGTACTAATGCCCTGCCTAACCCTGAGCTGTTATACAGGAGCTATATAAGGGAAAAAGAACAGTTCTGCCTTTGACCCTGCAGATTTTGATCTTATTTCTGCAAAGGTTTACACATGGCTTGCTACATATGCACCATAAAGATTTCTGAATCAGTGGGTCAAAGCTTTCAAACTACATGTTTATAGTCACTGCAAGAAAGCTAGTATGCCCAAATATGAAGTCTATCTGCTGAAAAGCTGAAAGATATTTTAAACTCTCCACTAAATTTAAACTGTCTAAAAGATTATTTTCTATACTGATAATCATAAAAGAGAGTGGCCCAAAAAACTAATCAAGACTATGGCCTGAAGACTGATGAAGTGCAATGATATTAATATGAAATCCAACGAGAGCATGGTTATTAAGAAAGAAATTAAGAAAAGTTATAATAATTAGGAGGATTAAATATTGATATTTTTATTTGCAATCCATATTTCTACCTGACACCTAAGAGAACTGTGCCTATGAACTCCAGAGAGCAGAGCAGTGCACTGCAGACTAAAGCTGCAAGGAAAGAGGGGACATCTGGAGGCGCCCTGCGACCCAGCTGCATCACTGCACCCAGTTACCTCGAAGACCTTCAAAAACTTTTTGCAGAGACTTCTTCACAGCAGCATTTTTGTAAGCAATTTTGTGTCATTCAATGCTGCCAAGCGAAGCAGTCGCATGCAATGCTCAAGCTGTCCACACTCCCTCTGAGGGAAGGGGTAGAGGCACTGGAGGGCATGCTGGTAACTGCCTGTAGCCCTAACAGGATTCCTCTTCACTAGAAAGAACTGCCACTCTTTCAGGGTGAATGACAGCACAGATCGCAACAGAGAAACATGGTGGTACAATTCATGCTGCTATCCAGCCCTGTCACAGAACTGATAGCACAATAAAACGAGTCAAGTTGCTAAAGGCCAGTAACAGAAAGAGCAAGAACTGGGATTAGACACTTAAGTTGCAGCTGCTGTAGCCAGGTTGCTTACTTTTTGCTCGTTTTGAAGCTAACATCAACAGCCAATTTATCTACTTCCCAGTAGTCACCAGTGACTGTAAACAGCTGGAATACTTATCCCCATGCAGACTTTCATATTACAGCTGGTTCACGCAATAACAGTGTCATATGATTGCCAAGTTAGCAGTAGGTACCTTCCTATTCATATTAACTTGTTCTAGTATTCACTAACATAGACATTAGCCCCTCATGCTACAAGCATATGCACAGAAATTTAAAAAACACTGTTGCAGTCCTCATAAGAAGGTGTGAGAATAACTGGGTCTGTGCCAAATGTGGGAAGATCTACAGATGGAACTTTATTGCTTATTTCTTAGGACAAGAAGCCACCAGGAAACCTCATACACAAAGACTGCAGCTCCTTTTTCATAAACTCATAGAGCATTGTCCAATCAGCTACAAAAGTAAATACAGCAAAGTTCATGGAGCACTTCCAAATACATTTTAAACCCTTTGGAAAGAAGCAGTGATCTGAGGTTTTGTACCTCCACAGAGTCTAGATTGGTGAGGTGAATAAAGGTAGAAATCAGCTCCTGTATTTAAGTCCCTCACATACAAAAACACACACATATGCCAACACAATCTCACAGAAGTGGTATGCTAGTTGCATGGCAGTTTTATTAAGCAAAGAATTCCCATCTAGTCAGCTTAATGTCATACAGATACCTCTCCTAATCCTCTAACTACTCTTCCTGTTCTACTGTGGGAACTCAGTTCTCTGTTGCACAAGACACATTGGCAGTTGTAACCATTCATTAAAAATGCAAAAATGGTGCACTTCTGTCAACTCATCCTTTAGCATAATATTGCAAAAGTACTTACAACTCCTACTGGTAGGTCCATGTATAAATATTATTGGAAAATATTTGTGGTAACAGCAGAAAAAAAGGGAAGAAACTACATCTTAGGATAGAGTTAAGAGAACCAGCCATGTGGCCACAAACCATGTTCTCTTCTGATCAGATGAACACAAGTGCTTCTTTCAGAGCACAAGCTGCACCTGGGTTGGGGCAACCCCTGGTATCAATACAAGCTGGGGGATGAACAGATGGAGGGCAGCCCTGCTGAGAAGGACTTGCAGGTGCTGGTGGATGAGAGGCTGGACATGGGCCAGCACTGTCCGCCTGCAGCCCAGAAAACCAATTGTATCCGGGCTGCATCAAAAGCAGCGGGGACAGCAAGCTGAGCTACGTCATTCTGCCCCTCTACTCCTCTCTCCTGAGACCTCACCTGGAGTACTGCATCCAGCTCTGGGGACGGCAGCACAGGAAGGACATCAACCTGTTAGAATGAATCCAGAGAAGGGCCACCAAGATGATTAGAGGGATGGAGCACCTCTCCTATGGGGACAGGCTGAAAGAATCAGGATTGTTCAGCCTGGAAAAAAGAAGGCTTTGAAGGCTTTGAGGTGACCTAATTGTGGCCTTCCACTCCTGAAGGCAGCTTACAAGAAAGATGGAGCACGTAGTGATAGAACAAGGGGGAATGGCTTCAAACTGAATGAGAATAGGTTTAGATTAATGTTAAGAAGGAATTCTTTCCTGTAAGAGTGGTGAGGCACTGGCACAGGTTGCCCAGAGAAGCTGCGGATGCTCCATCCATGGAGTGTTCAAGGCCAGGTTGCTCAGGGCTGTGAGCAATGTGGTCTTATGGAAGGCATCCCTGCCCATGGCAGGGGTTTGGAACTAGATAATCTTTAAGGTCTCTTCCAACCCAGGCCATTCTATAATTCTATGTTTAAAAAAATCACAACTTCAAGCTAAAGTTAATCAAGCAAAATGCAGTCACAAATCTGACAGGACCTTTAAATTCT